TATGCGGAGGAACATTATTTACCCCCCCCCCAACTTCTCCGTATATTCATCAGCCAAAACTTCACTATCATCAAGGGCATCATCATCCTCATTCTCACGTACTTGCCTGAATATCCATCTGAAGATGGAATCCCCGATCTCCGAAATCTCTACAAAATCCACAAAACCAATGATGTATCACGTCCCAAATGATTTTGCAAACAAGGATGGCAGGAAATTTGTGACGAGGAATGGCTTCGGGTGATCCAGGCGGCCCTTCTTGATTTGCTTGATTGTGTGAAAATCAAAATGAAATTGGCGGTCTTTGGTGAGCGCTCTCCGTAAGATACGAATTTGCGTTGCGTAAAGCTAAGAAACACGCTCTTAGTGCAATGCTTGACCAAGGGCCACATGTTGACCGTCGGCCAAAGGAAGGGTTGACATTTTGCGTGTTGACTTAAGAGATAAAGCCTATAAGGAAAGTGCGAACAATTTTCCGTTTTCGGAAATTGCGTAATATCCGTGCTAAACTGCGAGAAATGCAGAAGCTTCAAAGACTGGGCCGGAATAACGTGCCTGAGCATCGTAACCTTGAGGCCGACGTCAAAAGATCGCCAGTTGCTCCGGCTGGAGTATTGGCTGACCAACATCCAGCAGGTTGAAAATGTTATTCAGTCCGAGCGAATACGGCTAAAAACTAGCAACTTGCTGCGTGGAAGGAGTCGTTGCGTTCTTCCCGTTTGCGTTGTTATAGACTGTAGACTGTTGAAGACGGCCGCTCTTCAACCGTCCCGCAGTTTGCGTGATGATGTCGAAGGCGCAGCAACCCGCGTGCGTCCGAATCCATGGGATCTTCTCAGATCCATGGGATCTTATCAGGATTTATTGTAACGGGGTGTGGCGTCGTAGACGGATTCATCTTGATACTCCTACTCATAAGGTTACCCGAACGCGCCGTGTGGCCAGCCTGTACATACCAGGCGCCGGACCCGCCTGCCTCTTGCGCTGCAGAAGAATGCAACGCCCAGGCTGCAGGCTTCGCGTGGCAAAGCTACCGGACCGGATGGTTGAATGGGGGATGAGTTAGTGGCTTCCCCTCAGCCTGTGTTCAAGCTTTTTCGTGTGAGCTCTGTGAGTGTCAGCTGCCTACCTTCTGCCTGGAGGTTTGCCAGACAAGTGCACTTTCCAAGAGCCAGAAACGTGCTAGACAATGATGGAGTGCCGCAGAAGAAGATGTCCGTGTGCGTGACAGACACGTGGGCCAATGGGAGTTCGGACGTAGATTTCCACGAAAATGATACCACCGAACTGCGACTGGCAGGAGGCAGTTCCTGCGTTGATTAAATACGTGCTGGTTATATACCAGTCCCCATCGATAGGAAGATGACGTATATGCGTGTGGGTCCTATGAGTAAGGCTGCTTATGGTCAGATCGTGCAAGCCCTTACTGTTCGGCAGAAGACCGAGCTTGAGCAGGTCATCGGCAATGCGCTGCATGAGCCTCTTGCTAGCAAACATTGCGCGTGTCGCGCGTGGCCCGCAGTTTGATGTTAGTTTTAGGGCATGCGAGTCACGTCTGTCTGCCAGTTGGAGAGTCGAAAACTTGGGCTGTCAAATACCGGCGCCGCGGTAAATTTGGAATGGATGGGCTGATGCTCTCAGCCGGGTGCTTGCGAGATTTGGTTGGGTCACTGCTGGAGTGTTGCAGTGGCCCCACTTGGCGTTCGATCTGCGCATGTAGCCTGCTGGAGAAATAGCCTTGACCTTCCATGGCATCAATTGCAGAAGTCGTGGCGCCATTTTCATTACCAGGGTTGGTTGGAGGGTGGTCGTCAAGAGGGTCAGATGCGGTTGCGGATCAAAATATTCCCTATACCGAGGAAAGGTGTGGACTTGCTCGTAATGCCGTGTGCGTCTCCACTGGTCAACATGCAGTTCTGAACGGGGCTTTCATGTCTTTTGCTGCATTTGAAGTTCTGAAAGGCCATTGTGGGGATGACGCGGGAATATTTGTAGTTGCCGCTTTGCCAGGGACTGGCAGGGACGCTCCATCACATCGTATGGCGCTGCAGTGCTTTGTCCATAGCGCTAGGGTCCAATCCTTGTACCCCCGATAATTGCCTGCAAGACAGACTTACGTGGCCAGTTGGCCGCTGTAGAGCTTACGACCAGGAAGTCTTCCTTACCTGGCACTGTGCGACGAGGCAACTTATCCTTGAGAAGTGACACGGTTGAGTATGCAACGTGTTCTGTTCTTGCTTACTTGTGACTGCGTGCAATGTGTGTGCCGTGACATATGCAGTCACAATGCTGCGCATCCTCTGTGCGAGTCGCTGCTGTTTCGGCATGATCTTGCTTGCATTATACCGGCGAATCCCTGGCAATTGGACTACCTGAATTGCAGGTCTTCGTCGACGACAAGTTTTCTTCTGATGCTGTTTTCGTCTTGGGCCCTGCCTAGCTTGTTCCTTAGCGGGTCCGGTTCCCCTTTGGGTTTAGGGGGTTGGCCGCTTGGAGAGCCCTCTGGGCGGTTCTTGGGTTTTGCCTGGGATCCCGGATCCTGGACCCTAACAGGGCCTGGGGGCCCTTTGTGCTTTTGTTCTTGGGGGTGTTGCCATCAAAAAGGAGAAGCAGGATACCTTGCGCATGATTGGCCCTAGGGTTGTTGGGGGCTGAGCTGTGCCTCCCATAATTGTCAGACCCAGTGCAGGTTTAATGGCTGCCGGGAGTTTTCGTGGAAGTTTAGGGGGTTTGGATGAGGGTGCGCACGGCCTAACCAGGCATGGGTGGGAGCTTAGGATTTGAGGGTTTAAGGGTTTGGGGTTTAGTGTTGGGCATGTAGGGTGTTGGGCTGTAGGCTCAGTTTAGGGTTGATTCGCTTTACTTTTCCTTGGTTTGGGGTTTTACGGTTCATGGTTGGGCTCCTTGCGATCCGATTCAACATTCCCCCCGGTCCGATCTATGGCCTGTTGTGCGCGATCCGATTCACGCTGCCCCCAATCCGATTCACAGGAGCCGTGGTCGGATTCGCGCCCGTCTGATCCGACCCCCGCCAATCTGATGGATGGTTGCATCACACCCTTTCTGAGCTGAAGTGCTGAAGACCTGGGAAAAGCGGCCGTGCTGGGCAGTGTTTGATTTGGCTAGGTGAAGCTTTTGAGTCCAAGTGCCCCTTGTTTCTGACAGGTCTGCTTGGCATCCCTGGTGGCTTGGGGAGCTTGGAGGGCATGACTGGACTCAGGGCCTTCAGGATCATTCGCGTAACGCGCATCGCCAAGACTGTCCGATTGCTGCACATATTCCGTTTTATTTTGGCGCTCCGAATGTTGGTTACATCGATCATCAACACCTTGAAATCGCTGCTTTGGGCGTTGATTCTGTTGATGCTGATCATCTACGTGTTTGCGGTACTTTTTGCACAAGCTGTTGATTCATATACGACAAACGGAGATCCTACAATACCAACTCATGATCTGCAGGTGCTCAATATGTACTACGGCAGCTTGGGAAAGACCATGCTGCATTTGTTCATGAGTATTGCAGGGGGAATAAGCTGGGTCGAGTTGGTCGGTCCCCTCGAGAAGATCTCCATTGCGTGGGTTTTGCTTTTCTTATTTTTTATATCTTTCACATATTTTGCAGTCCTCAACGTGGTCACCGCCGTGTTTTGCGGAAGCCTCAGTTGAGATTTCTTATGGTTTCCTGTTAGGACAGCAGAACGCATTGATGTAAAGGAGGCCACAAGCAACCACGATTGAACAAATCAGTGAAAGCCATGGGGCGGCTTGTAGTCTAAGGGCTTAGGTTTTATGGTTTGGAAGGTTGGATGGAAGAAATGCATGTTTGTGCTATGCACTGCTATGCTTTTGTTGCGCCTTGTCAGTGTTAAAGGGTGTTTGGTAAGGGTCATAGATTTTGCGAAGTCATGTAGCTTTGGCGGCGGGGCGTGGAGATGCAAATTGTTTTTCTTAGCACCCTTCACACACATAGCATGTTGAAGTCAAAACCCAGTGCTGCCTTTTTGCGAATCAAGCTTCCGAAATGGCAGCTGTTTCACGCATGCGTCGCATAATGGTACACACTGTGCCAGAAAAAATCTCAGCAGTTCGAGTGTTGCCAAATGCGATCAGTCGGAAAAACATGCTCAGCATGTTTTGCGCTTGTTTGAACCCAGGTCAAAGTGCCATTGAGGGGGCTCAGAACGATCATGCTGCAAAGGTTCAATCTGTACTTGCGGACAAGCAGTCGCATCTGGAGAAGGTCCGCAGGCTCTTCAGTCAATTCGGAGCTGATGATGGAGTCATCACGTACGGGATGTTTCAAGAGAAGATAAATGATCCGGCAGTCAAGGAGTATTTTGCGACTCTCGGTCTTGATGTTTATGCCGCTTGGACCATCAAAGCCAGCAGTTTTGAGTTGTTTTCACTAGCCGCCTGTAGAGATAACGCTTTTGCATGTCTTGGCGTGCGTATTGACTTGCAGCCAGGATGCATGGTCATTTTTTAAGCTGCTGGACCTTGATGGAGGTGGTGCTGTCGAGATCGAGGAGTTCCTCATGGGTTGTCTTCGCTTGCGTGGCCAAGCAACTGCTATGGATGTAGCAAAGGTCATGAACGACATCACTTGGCTTATCAAATCGCAAGGTCAGTTTCATACGTATGTAGAGGTGGAGCTCCAACACTTGAAGGAAGACCTTTTCGGCCGCAACAGCAACCGCACAAGTGTGGCAAAGTCAGCTCACACCCACTCGGAAGGCGATGACCGGTGATGGCTGCGCAGAAAACAAAAGCCCGAGACGGATCTAGCGTGCAGCATCCGGATAGTCACGCCCGACACAAGATGCTGTTGATATTCCTTGAAAAACATACTGGTAGCTTCAAGTTTTGAAGTGCAATCCTGCTTCAATATGGTACACCCAACTTCATAGCACGACACTGGTTAACGTATTGCCTTCTGCTACTCCTCTAAATGTCATGCTTAGTTTTGGTCGAGAGCCCCAAGAAACGCCTTGCTAGCTGAAGGCCCACGAAGAGCACCACGGCAACCTGCACCAGCAGGCAGGCAGCCTATCGGGTCTATTCCGCAACAATCGAAGCATTAAACTCACCACTGACAACAAGCTGTCTCTATAGTGCAGTTGTTACATACATGAGCCATAGTCTAAACTCCTTAAAAATGGTTATACAGGGGATTATTTCGGGGAGTATTATAGGGGTTAATAAGGGGGATGCTAGGAGTTTAGACTATGGCGTGTCGTCTGTGCCCCTTAGATCATTGAAATGAGGGGTTCAGAACAAGGAATGACATGAAAAACTTACTGATGAGCTTGCCACTGTCATCTATATATATATATGTACATTTGTTAACTTGTGCCGTCACAGACATGCAGTTGTCGGCTGTCGGCTATGCATCCACCATCCAGATGTTTTCCATTGCCAGCAGGTAGACGCATGTAATTAGTCCGTTTGCCCTGCGTCAGCATGCCAGGTCTTGAATGCGATTGATCTCCTCGAGCGCATGAGGGAAGAGCACTGTCAGCAGCAGGTGCAGTCCCCATCGTGTTTTCATATAGTATATTGAAGGCCGTACCTCAAACACTCGGAGACATCTCCAATGCCTTCTACGTTGCAGAAAGGTTGCATTGTCCCATGCACGGACTGGCGCCTCGCGACATCAGGCGCAGTAAGCCTGGGCCCAGACAGGGGAGTCCTGCTGTATCTTGTTGGCTGGGAAGGAGGACCTCAGCAGGCTAATGCACACTGCTTCGACCCACCAGCGCTGACCTCAAAGGCACTGTTTGAGCTTGTTTCTGGCTTCTCACCTCCCTTCGCAGGGGCCGTGTTCACGCAGCCTCGGCAGAGATTGCGCACCTGGTGGATTGCCTAAGATTGCCCGAAATGCTAGTCTTGCTGGAGGTTAGTAGGGAATAAGGGAAACGATTGTAACGTAATATATAGGGATTCTGTAGGGATTCCCTGCTAACCATCAACCAGCAAGCATGCCAACCAAGGGTCCCCAAGGTTGATCTTTGCAAGCCTTCCTTGTGCTCAGTGTGGGCCAAGGCCCTGGAGATGGAGAACATGCCCCCGCCTGAGATGTCATAGGTACTGTAGTCTAAACTCCTTAACGGGGGTTATATAGGGGATTATATACGGGACTACTATAGAGGTTATTAACGGGGATACTAGGAGTTTAGAATATGGCTCATATCCTTTCAGGTTTCAGTCATCGCTTGAGCAGGATTGTACAGTTAGTTACATGAGGACTGATGAATATGGGCAACAATTTGCTGCGGAGCTTCAAAAAGAGTCTCTCAGCCAAGGCTTGCTAGTGGTGCGAAGGCGAATGAGGACGGTCTTTCCAAGTACTCAATAAGGGGCAATTACTTGGGATTTAGATACTAGGCTTATGTAAGGCTTATACTATAGGAGTTTCCACTTTCTTTTCCATTATCTCATATATAACCCCAAGATAACCCTAATATTCTACCATTGTCTTGTTCAGAAACTTCGCGTTTTGCTGCCATCGCATTGCAGGTTGGCTGGCTCCAGCAAGAGCTGCAGGAAAGAGAAGAGCAGCTTGAGGCTTGCGAAAGCTACAGGGCAAGGAGTTATACGGCGGTATATCTTGGGGTTGTATGGGGATATAGGGATAATGAAAAAGAAAATGGAAACCACTATAGTGTTTGACCGCACAATGGTATGCTTCTTGAGTACTGGCTCCAGAGAGCTTTCAAATCCAGCCAGGTTGCATTTTGCAGGCAGCAGGTAATTGGCTTTGTCTAGCCTTTGCTCCAGCGTCCATGATGCGGCACACACCACATCTTGGAGAATTAGGGGCCTTTGACGCCATGTGGCCTAGCTGAGCACCGCCTCTGCATCTATGCACTGCAGCATCTTCAATGGCCTGGCGCCTAGTACAACTTGCCTCGAAGCTTGGTAGTTTCCCAGAATTAGGGGACCCCAACATAGACCCCAAAATATTATAAGTCTATTACAGGGACCCCCCAAAAGAACCCCTAATTTTGGGAAACCCCCACTTCAGTTCGAGAGAAGTTCCTGCCACTCAATAAAAGGGGCACGGACCTGGACAGCAACTGAATACACAGAACAAGGTGGGCTTGAAGGTTAAAGAGGCCCAGGCCAGCAGCTCGTAAGTTCAGGCTACCAGGGGCCCTGTGACTTGAGAAGGTTGCTGTTCAATATGGAACGTAAATGAAGTTACTATCAATATGGCTCTAGAAGACAATATGGCTTCCGTAAGATGGTAAAGTGATCTAAGTTTCTAAACAGCAACCCAATTATGACCGCCGTAACACAGCTTCCAGGCTTTGCGCGGTGTGGCAGCCATTGCGCCTTGACGAAGACATATCAAGCTGTGGCAGACGCGCTGGGCTTTGGCACATCCGCATCCATTTCACAATGAGGCTCTTCCATGCCCACCAAAACGTCAGGAGTTGGACTGTTCAAAGGACAGACTCGAAGATTTTGATGCATCACGGGGCAATGTGCTTAAAGGCTGAAATGCATGGTGCTTGAATGTGGAAACAACGCCGCATGTCATGGGCGTGCTGAGATCACATGGAAGGGAAAACCGAACAGTCATGTTTATTTATGTATCTGCAAGCGCAAGATTGGGTAGTCTATTGCCCCGGAATCAAGCAAGGCAAAAACAGAAGAAGCGCACCTTGGATGCAGCGTGGGATGGAGCATTTGACAATGCTTGTGATTGTGCTCATCAGAAAGAGATTGGCTTGGATTGCTTTGCTGTGAACGCTATTCGTTAAAGCTCACCCGTCTTATCTCCCTTACTTACGGGCACCTGAAGCATTGACTAAGCCTTGTGTCATGGGAAACAGCTGAAGGCATGATGTCGTGAGACAGATTGGAATCATAATGTGTTTGCTGAAGTCCAAGGCAGCGATATCCCACACCTGGGATTATCTATGACAAGGTCTGCAGAGGGAAGCTGCGAAAACTCAGCCAGACTGCCTCTGGTGTAGTCATGCGGTCCCATTGGTTCTTATGCCCATACGCCAGGCCTCGCAGTTGTACCTCGAAGATCCATCATACTGGAATTATTGGGCTCCTCAGCATGCAGATCAGTCCCAGCGTCCTCCCCTGGAGTTTATCGCAGCTGAGCTAAGGATCGTGCTACCAAGCCAGGCTACCCTGCTGATGCAACTTGCCTCGAGTGCGGTTTGTCGTTCTGCTGTTGTCGAAGCAACAAAAACACATACCCATGAGAAAGCGCTGCACAGCTTATCTTCCAAACAAGCAGCCTTTTTTTTGCACGGCTCAAAGAGACATGCTTTAAATGAGGGGGAGAGCAGGCAAACAGAAATCCGACTAGGGAGTTTGTCGATGAGTCTGCTTTAGCATGTTGGTGGTGGGCAGGAAGGTGCAAAAAAGCGATGCTTCAAGACAGATTCACCGAAAGCACACTGTGAGGACCAGCTGGAAAGCTACGTAACTTCCCCGCCAAATATTTGGTGGGAACAGCGTGGCTGGGATGGAACTTACTCCGCATTGCACTTGTGCTGGAACATCCTTGTCCCTACCATTCTGGCCCCACAGAAATTGCGTGAGGTAGGCTTTGGCGCGATAAATGGAAGCAGTTGGGAGTGGGCGATGAGGGTCAAGTTACTTGGCGTCTTTAAGAGTCAAGAGTCATTTTCTGGCAACGGAAAACTGGAAGCTAAGACTACCTTCCCGTATGATGGCCGACCACCACCTGGCTGGAGCCCCTGATGCGCTTGGAATGCGTTTTCCCTTGAAGCAGTCTTGAATCCGTTCTTCTGGAAATCTTTGAGGCACTTAACATGAATACTTAGATGATAGCCCACTGTAGAAAGCGCGATAACCATGACAAGGAACGGCCGCTGTGTCAAGGAGCCTGGGCTGCTGAAAGCGGACTGGGGGCGGCCAAAGCTCTGGTGGGAATGGCTGGAGGGGCCGCTGCTTGACTCACTTGTGCCACCTATTATGATAAGACTTGAGATCCTCGAGAGCGTTTCTGGAACAACTCTGTGGCCCTTCAGGCCCGACCCGCTGGACTGGAAGAGTGGGCTGAAATCGGCGGTCAAATCCATGGCCGGCGACTTTCTCAGCAATTTCTTTGACAATGACAAGCACCTTAGATGCAACACGTGCTTTGAGGGAGTCCGCACTGTGTGTGGCAGCTCTGTCACAGCGCAGCAAGACACGCGTTGCAGCAAAAATGCCACTATACCTCACATGGTGTGCGTTCAGAAAGCGTATTTGGCAAACACATCTCCCCCCACTTGTCATTCCAACGTCCCGTGACCAAGCATACTCCATCAACAACCGCGAAGCTGCAAATCACTACCGAATCGTTGCCCACTGAGTGCAAAAGAAGTGTGAGCGCCTAGGTGCACTTTGCCAATCGGCCTGGACACTCCCATCTCCAAGTACTGGAAGGAGTCGGGTCAAGCTGGCTTCCGAGCAGCACATCATCACGCGTCGGTCTTGATCTTCAAGCTCGGACACTGCTTCAGGTGCTCCTTTCGCCTTGCGGCCTTTGAAGCCAGTTCAAGCCAGCTAGTTCAAGCTGCTAGAGCAGATGCTGCAAGCATCCAATCCCTAAACTATCACTATTACTACTAGTCTGGTTATTACTAGAAGTATCACGATAACGATTATTACTCTTACTCTTACTTTGCTATATTATAACACTATTATGATTATTATTTAAGGGGCTGCGCCCAAAAACGGGCAACGCAGGCAGCGCATTTTCTTGGGTTCCCTC